CTTATCTGTAGGCGGACTTATCTGTGAGATTTTAGGGTAGGTAAGCTTTTACACTGATTGCTTGAATTCGTACATAGTTTCAATTCAGCACTCGCTTTTGTGACTAAATAAATTTCAAAAACTGCAGCGGAGATGGATCCTGGTTGTAGTGCCACAATTTTGATTATAAAAAACTGCCTGACAGAATACAAATGTTTCATGGTAGCTCACAATTTCTCAAAATTTTCAATTTCTATCGCCATAACTCCTATACTTCTTGTTTCTTAGAAAGATTTCGCGGTGCCATGCGATAGAGCAATGCAAGCTTCACAATATAGTTTGTTCAGCATAAAGTTTGAACCCAAAATCTAAATAAGTCTAAACTCCCTAAAAGTCGAAAAGAAGTTCTTCGTTAAAACATTCCTGCAAAGTTCCTAATGCACGAAATGACCATAGATTTTTGGCCTTTTACAGGCAATAGGGGCTGAAAGTAGATCGGGTAGGTCTACAGGCTCCACCCATGCACTCCACCCACAGCTAACACGAGCTGCCATGGAAAAAAGTGCGCATTTATTGCAAGTATATGGGACCTCCGCCTTCGGCGACCTACTATTCTCTGTCTCAGGCAACAGTTTCCAGAATATCAAATTTAGCGCAAAGAAACCGAAATTGTCGTATCGTTGGGCTCTTTTTGTATATATCGAGTTCTGACCAGGGAAAACGCACTCTATGTTCAAAAGAAGTGGAACCTTCCATCTGAGGAGTCGAAAAGATCCCGTTATTCTGCTTTCTGCGACATGTCGGCGGGATATGTGGCATGGTATGAGTGTCATGACGTGAGGGTTCGTGGCCGAATAATCTGAAAAGTAAATAAGCAATACTTTAGCTGCGATGAAGAAAGCAGCTTACGCATTCAAGCAATCCACTGAAATTTTGGCTTTGAAATCTTTTGGTAGCGGGCGATCAGAAAACTCGGGAACTTCAGACTGTCCAGAAAATTCAGATTTTCCTGCGTCACGGGAACGTTTCCTTGAGGGACCCGGCGTGGGAGAGACTGGACTGTCGAATTTTGGAGGTGAATGCGCCCTGTTGCGAGTGCCAGCCTAGACAGAGAGCATGCGTCATTCTGACTGAATACCGCAAAAGCCTTTCTTACCTTGGAGATGTCCTTCATCATGAAATTCTTTATATCCTCCGGAAGTTTCCTTTTGATTTCATCTTTGTCAAATACGACCGTATTTGCACGTAAGGAGACCGTTTCTTTGATACATTTTGTGATTTCATTTTGTAAGTCGCAGAACGCTTTGAAATCCATATCATTGAGGTTCACGTGACGCAAGATCTGTAAAACAACAATATCCTAGTTACAGTTTCTATTTTCGTAAAAGTCAGAGTGGATAAAGAAGTATATGAATTCACATAAATTTGAAGATTTAAAAAATAAATGTCTTTCAAAATGTATTATGCTCTAGCATGAGTTTTTACTACCTGTCCTTTACTTACGTGAAAAATTCAGCAAAGTCCATTTAGCACATATTCATGAGAAATAACAAAGAACTACGATTACTAAACTTAATAGGGATGTTACACTGAGCATGAAAACCATTCAGCCTTTGATTTTTTCTTTTATTTCTCCCGTTCTTAGTTTTTTTTACAGAGTTTTATGGATGTCCAAAAGATATCAGAGCAAATTAGAGGTCTTTGGTCAAAAAATAAAGTAGGAGGAACTCTGCAAAAAATTGAGAGAAAAATCTATGAGATTCAAAGTTGACTTTTCTGTGTTGTTCGTGTTTTTATCCATATCATTAAGTATATATACTTGTATATACAAACAAACTGCAATCTCCACCGCTTCAAAAGAGATATCTTTTGGAAAAGTTACGAAGCTTTTTCTTTGAGTATAATGAAACTTTTACGACTCAATATTCATCGCTCCCATCCTTTTTTT